AAGTTGAGCACAACTTCAGTTTGTCAACGGTCACCACCTTCGTTAGCATATCTGTTGGGTTCTTACTTCCAACAATCTTCTTCAAACTCAGGACTTCATCCTCAAGAAGAATATGATGAAATGATATCGTATGTCAATGTGCTTAGTTCTGGAGTGAAACACAAAGTTCTTTGCTAGATGTATTGCGCTCTGACTGGCACTGTGCAAGACACTCTCTTTTTTAGTGAAACTCAACTCTGCTAACAATCTTTGAAGCCATATCAATTCCTAACTGGCTTTTGTCACTGCTACATACTCAACATCTGTAGTGGATAGAGCAACAATCTTTTGTATCTGTGACATCCAACTAACAGTTGTAGCCCCGACAGTGAAAACATAATCGGTGGTGCTTCTTTGGTGATTAACTTCACCTCCGAAGTCTGCATCTACGTAGCCTTGTAACTTTAGATCTCCTTTTCAAAAATATAGACATTTTTCTGTTGTGCCTCGTAGATATCTCAAAATCCATTTGACTACTTCCCAATGAGCTTTTCCTGGATTTGACATAAACCTGCTAACAACTCCCATAGTATGGCCAATATCTAGCCTCGTACAGGCCATCGCGTACATCAAACTTCCAATGGCTGAAGCATAAGGAATCTTAGCCATGAAGTCTTCTTCTTGTTTTGTTTGAGGAGACTGATACTTGGATAGACGAAAATGGCTGGCCAAAGGTGTACTGACTGACTTAGCCTTATCCATGTTAAATCTCTGCAAAACACAGTTGATGTACTCTGCTTGAGATAACTGCAAAACTCCTTTTTGCTTATCTCTCGTGATTTACATTCCAAGAATCTTCTTTGTTGGGTCTAAGTCCTTCATGTCAAATTCTTTTGACAACTGCATCTTTAATTTTCTGATGTCCTTTATATCTGATCCCGCTACTAACATGTATCAACATAAAGTAGCAAATATGATATAGCTGGACTCATATTTCTTGAAGAAACAATAGTGATCAACATTGCACTTTTGAAAACCTTCCTTCTGCATGAAGCTTTCAAACTTCCTATACCACTGTCTTGGAGCTTGTTTCAGACCGTACAAGATCTTCTTCAATTTGCACACCACATCCTTCTTTCCTTCTGAAAAACCTTCAGGCTGGTGCATATAGATCTCCTCATCTAGATCTCCGTGAAGAAATGCAGTCTTCACATCTAATTGCTCTAGATAGAGCTCTTCACTAGCCACATACTTAACACATTCTTGATAGTATTGAGCTTCACAACTGGAGCAAAGATTTCAGTATAGTCAACTACTTCTTTCTGCTGAAATCTTTTGACAATCAGTGGGGCTGTGTATTTCTTGGAACCATCATGGTCTTCCTTCACCCGATACACCCATTTGTTGTGAAGTGCTTTCTTCCCATAGGTAACTTGACTAATTTCCATGTTTGATTTGAGATCAAAGACTCCATCTCGTCCTTCATGGCAAACTCCCACTTGCTAGCATCCGTGGTTTGACGAGCCTCCATATAATCTTCAAGTTCTCCATCAATCAACAACATGTAGTCCATGTATCTCCTGTTAGGCACATGGGGCCAAGAGGGAGTTGGAGTAGAAGGTTCTGATTGCTCATCGCTTCTTCATTTGAATTCTCTAAACGAGTATTCCTTATTATAGGAATGTCTGGAATATCTTCCACCTCTACATAAACTGGCCCACTCGCTTCTGAGTTGCTGGCACTTGTGTTATGTCGGTCATTGTACATCACTCTTTCATTAAAGATGACATCTCTGCTGTAGATCATCTTTTTGTTTTCATCACCCCATAAGCGGTAACAAAATCGTCTTCACCATAACAAAAGAAAGTACATTTCTTTCATTTTGGATCAAGTTTGTTTCTACCTTGATCACTGATGTGCATATATGCTACACACTCGAAAACTCTAAGATGTTATTTTCCGTTCCATACCACTTCTGGTAACTTGTGATCCAACGGTACCAATGGACTTCGGTTGATCAAGTAAGCTGTTGTGTTGACTACTTCTGCCCATAACTGCTTTGGCAGGCCTGACTGCACAGGCAAGCTTCTGGCCTTTTCAGTCAACGTTCGATTCATACGCTCAGCTACACCATTGTGTTGAGGCGTACTAGACACGGTTCTCTCCATCTGATCTCGTGTTTATAGCAAAACTTCTTGAATCAGGTGGTTACATATTCACCACCAATGTCGGATCTGAGCTTCTTGATCTTCGAGTCTGTCTCATTTTCCACCATAGCTTTCCAACTCTTGAAAGCTTCAAATACTTCTGACTTGTGTTTCAGAAAGTAAACTCATACTTTTCTTGAGTGATCATCGATAAAAGTCACGAAATATTGCTTCCCACCAACGGATGGGACAATGGTTGGACCCCAAACATCAGAGTGGATGACCTCAAGATTCTCCTTCTTTGGAGTTCTTCTACTTGTCTGAAAACTGACTCTTTCCTGCTTTCCAAGTATACAATTTTCACACATGTCAATTTCTATTGACTGGAGGCCTAGTAATTTTCCTTTTGAGTGCATGATCTTGATCCCTTTTTCACTCATAAGCCCAAGTATTTGGTGTCATAGATTGGGATTTTCATTTGCTGCAATTGCAATCAGATGACAAGCTTCTGTTATCTTGTAAAGAGTACCACTCTTTTCGCCTCGAGCAATTGTCATCGCACCCTTTAAAATCTTTCAATCATCACCATGGAAGATTTTCGTGTAGCCTTCACTGGCTAGCTGGCCCACGGAGATTAAATTCTTCATCAGATCGGGAATATGTCTAACATTTTTCAATTTCCATACAGACCAGTTCAACTTTATTTTTATTGCACCTTTCCCTACAACCTCACATGATTGCTCATTACCAAGGTAAACTTTACCAAGATTTCTAGGTACATAATTCTCCAATAGTTCCTTGTGTGAGGTAGCATGAAAGGATGCTCCAATGTCTAACACCTAAGACTCTTCTCTGTTCTCCAAAGAACATGTCAGCATATCTCCTCCTAAGGCTGAAGCAATATTTGCCTCTTCTTTTTCCTCCTAGTTCTTTGGTGCACTCTTGCACTGGTTTCTGTAGTGGTCATTCTTCCCACAATTCCAATGCTCGATCGACTTCGAGTTTTGAGAACTACGATGATTTCTGGACTTTGATCTTCTTCCCTTTAATTTGTTGTGTCTGTTTTCTTTGGAGGAACTTCTTCCTCTTGACTCTATATGCAATAAAGAAGAGATCGAAGGTTCACCCGACTCTCTCCGTCGGATCTCTTCACTGAGAACCAAATTTTGAACATCATCAAATCTCAGCTTATTGCTTCCCGATGAGCTACTCACAGCCGTGACCGTAACATTCCAACTTTCTGGTAGGGAAGACAAAAGTATTAAAGCCCGTACTTCATCATCGAACTCGATCCCAACTGAACTCAACTGGGTTGTAACAATGTTGAGCTCATTGAGATGATGTGCCACCTGAGCACCTTCGATCATCCGCAGGTTGAACAATCGCCTCATCAAATGAACTTTATTTGAGGTTGATGGTTTCTCGTACATGTTGGAAAGAGCCTTCATGAGGCTTGCTGTCGTCTTTTCTTTTCCAATGTTAAAAGCAACATTACAGGACAATGTCAGTCGAATGGCTCCAAGAGCTTGTCTGTCAAGGAGACTCCATCATTCCTCCTTCATATCCTCTGGCTTCTTTCCTGTGAGTGGTTGATACATATTCTTCTGGTACAGATAATCCTCGATCTGCATCTTCTAAAATCCAAAGTCCGCACCATCGAACTTTTCAGTTTTCATTTTCCCTTCATCTGCAGCCATCACTTCGTTTGATCTGACTTCACTGTCGGACTGTTTCTGATAATTTATGTGAACTACCGTGTTTCAGAGCAGGTCGGTAGATAAATTTGTAGCGCCGACAAATTTGACACTATTCACGTTTTTCACTATTCACAGAATAGTAACCACGCAAAAATTACAGAATTAACAATCTGGCTCTGATACCAGTTGTTGGGAAAAATACGCTGAATTTTCCATGAAGTCAGATCTATAAAAGTTAATCAAAGAAAAAAATTGGACACACCAAATTGATGACGGAGTTCGGCCAATAAAGCCTACGTCTCATGACTACTGCAGATTTTTATTCAAAAAAAAATACATTCGTGTTTATAAAACACTATCAAACTCACTCACAACTCACAACTCAAATACACACAGAAACTAAAATATCCCGCTTCATGTTCACTCTCTTCTTTTCTCTCTTTTTCTTGAATTTTGGGGTTGTAATTTTTTCATCAAAATCTCCCGGAATTTATAGAGGGGGAAGTGTACTAATTTTTAAAAAAGTTGTTCTGATTTATTTTCAACTCGGGCTGCTGTGCAATTTTTTTTCTTATTTGGCTGATGTCAAATAAAAGCAGCGCAACCACTTTTGACTCAACAGTTATAATATTTAAAATTATAAGTTAGATAATAGTATATAAAATTTTAACATTTTGGCAATTAATATAAAGAAATATTATAAATATATAGGGAGTAACTTACATATAAATCACTATATTCATGACATAAAATTTAGTCATAATATTTATTTATTTATTTATTTATTTATTTATTGGTAGTTTACGGCAGATTCGTAGTATATAATAAGTATATCACATTTTAAAATTTTAACAATTAACACAAATAAACAATATAAATATATATAGAATACCTTACATATGAATCACTATATTTATAAAAAATATAGAGATTAACAAATGATTTCAAAATAAAAAATAAAAAACAAAATAAAATATAAATTAAGTGGGTGACAAGAAGACAAGTGGTTGAAATTGGATTTTGGTTTAACAAATTCTTATCAAGTATATCAAAATAAAGCATTTATAACAAAATTTTTGGTAGATTTTATAATAATAATAATTATAATAATAATAATAATAATAATAATAATAATAATAATAATAATAATAATAATAATAATTGTGTATATATATAATTGCTAGCATATAGCATTTAATAAAACCTATTTAATAAAACCTCTAAAATTTTTCCCTCCATTTTCGGTTACAAAATTTATCATTAATATTTTTTTACTTCTCACATTAATACATCCTATTAAGTGTAATCATGTAATTTTTTTATTATATTATATAATAGTTATTGCTAATACCAACTAATAATAATTCACAATAAATATCAATTACCTAATTATAAACAATTGTTTCAAGTTATTTATATTAACATCAATATTATTTTTTTCTTTTGTATCTCATGAAAAAATTTCTTTAAAAATAATTAGTAAATTATTTTAATAGCATAGTCAAACAACTTTAGAATCTTATAAACAATTCTTTTTTAATAATAATAATAATAATAATAATCAAACTATTATTATATATACAATGATAATAAATAATTGTTCATAATAATAAAATCGTTAATTTATTTTTCCTACTGATCAAATTTTTGAAAATGTAATATGTTCATTATCTAAAATTTTAATATTAAATTCTAAAATATTACTTAGAATATTTTAGTACATCTGTGCATGTGCACAGGATATCTACTAGTAATAATAATAATAATAATAATAAGGGGAAAAGACAAGAAAGAAAACACCAAATAATTTTAATAATTTTTTTGCTAACTACACATATAGATATCATCGTTTCAGCATATGTATATTTCTACATTAACTAATCAGTTTGTAAAGAATCGCACCCAATTCATCAACAGCCATGGTATCACTCATCCACATTCTACATAACACTCCATAAAAGGCCACAAATACAAATCGTTAATGTAAAAAATTAATACATCAAACAAAATCCACACTTTTTACCACCATATAACACACTTACACTCTCCTTCACCTAACTACACTACCAGAATCCAATTCGTCCTCCAGCTGCTTAATCAACAGCTCCATCATCTTCTTGTACATTGGCATGTAATGATCGTTGATCATCGTCCTCGACAGCCGGAGCTTGCTGTACAACTCCCTACGTGTCTCGTAAATCCCGACCCTCACCTCGTCCGCACCACCATCACACCCCCATTCACCAGAACTGGAGTTAGATACGCATATAATATGCATTATACGACCCGGAGGGTAAAATTTCTGATTATCATCCGTATACGAAATGGGCGAGTGGCTCTCAACTGCATCTGCAAACACTTTTTCCTCCTCCGTTATCTCGTTAGCCACGGCATCTTCCTCTTCTTGAATTTCCTCGTCCAGCTCGTTTTCCCGCCTTTGGAGCTCCTTCTCCAGTTCATACCATAATTGCCCTTCGGTAAATTCCTCGATAGTGGTAGATGTGGTGACAACTTTCTCAACCTGCATTAGATGATTGTCCTCTTCATCGTCACTTGCGCTAGAAGAAGAACAATATTCGGACTTTATTGATTCAGGATTTGTGCTCGTTACAACTTCTTCAGTTGTGAGAGATTCCGTAGTTGTCGAAATTATAAGAGGGGAGTCGGGTAGGTCGTTCACGTTCTCCGTATTTGACCTAGGAGTGATGGGGCGACGCCTGGGGCCCATGCATGTCCATGAGGATATGGAAGATCGGGTCTTGACAACTGCAAGTGCTACGTCTTGCGCACGCTTCATTACAACCTGTGTATTGCAGTGTCAAACTTTATTGAAAGAGAAATATGAGGAAAAACTATATGGTGTGCTTGTAGTCCATTTGGTAAAAGAAAAACATTTCAGCTGTGGATATCTGATCTTAACAAAGATTCTGTCACTTAAATGGTTAAATCTAAGCCAAAACTACAATTGGGGTTTGATCTCCTTTCATAAAAGAAGACAATATCTAGCAAAAAAGTACAAATATCCTCTTAAGTTATTAGAGATACCCCACTTTAAGTGTTAAACAAAATAGGAGCCAATATCAAGGGTGTATTCATATTTCTGAGAGAGACCTTGATTGTGTAATTAAACGAACTCTGAAGGATGCTTTTCGGTACAAGTCACGAATAAATAAATAAATGGATTAATAACAGAAACAACACTGGAGTCCGAATAATTACAAAATGGCCCTGTTATCTCTGAAAATTAATAACCCGTGAAATATCTAGTCTTGTGCTGCATATAAGACCGGGCTATTTGTAAGGTAAATACAAGACCTCAGAGGGTTATTTCTATTTATAAGATAAGATGACTGTTCTCTTTTTAATATTTAGGCTTAAACTTCAGAGGTAGTACCGTCTGTAAGTAACCAACTCCTACAAAGTCAGTCCCAAACACAAACTATTCCATGAAGAGGCGAAGGGCACAAATTTTTGAAACATTAGTTACCTGGGTGCTGCTGGAGACTGGTCTTAATAATGCACCTGCTCCAACAACCCTTGCCTTTGCATTCGAAATGGACGGCAAACGAGACCCAAGAGCCGTGGCCGATCGATATATAACATTCAATACTCTGTTGCGCTCAACTTGGTCACGGAGATCATTCAACCAGGATGATGCTGTTACCTTAATAATAAGAATGACTTCCGCATTTTAGATTATAAGGAAAAGAAATATGTTCATTTTCCTTTTTATTATATTTAATTCATTCTTTTTCCTTTTATGATGATAGGATACCTCTGACCGAAGATCATCAACAGAAGCAGCTGAAAACGTGGGAACTAAGTCAGAGCCATTGACTATTGTGGTGATGAAGTGCTTCCCTGATTCTGCCAGCTCCCATGTCATGCAGGCAGCTGTAAGATCCCATTTCGAAATAAGAATATTTAATTTTAAAAATAAAGAGATTTTCATACAAGAAAGAACAAAATTGAGAAATCAGAACATGCCTGGTGCAAAAGTAACGCATGTTGCTGCTGAAAACTCTTTTTGTTCCCGGAGAATGTATGTTAACAATGCAGCTGTACCACCACCAAGTGAGTGGCCGACAATCTGAATTCAAATAGAGACTTCATTTACAAACATGAAAAAATTGCTTGTGCGCGCCATATATGATCTTCCAGAAGAAACAAGGTGGATGAAACCAACTCAAGAAGCAAATTAAGACACTAAATAAAAGTTTAAAGTTATCATCTGAAATTGACGTAAAAGCCTCTACACAATTATCACAGAAATTGACTCGAGAAGTTCTAAAACTAAAAGATAATTTAAACTAGATACGCAGTAAAGATGAATGCCAAAATCTACATGTAATATACATTAAAAATGCCAGCTTTGCGATCAACTGTCGATTGAAACCAAGAATGAAACTCAATTAACTCTCTTTATGTTAATGTCATTAATAATTGAATATCATACAAAATTGACACACACAGGCTCACACACGCGCACACACACACACACATAGAGAGAGAGAGAGAGAGAGAGAGAGAGATAATACCTACCTTCACGTCATAATCAGGATTTTGCTCTATGGCCTTAAGCAAAGACGGAGTACTCAGCTTGGCTATCCACCGAGCAGCAGCAACCATCCCACAGTGAGCGTAGCCCAATACGAGATTGCTAATCCCACCATCATCCAGAACCGAGTGGTGAAAGGGGACCACAGCCCCAGTTGCTGCTGTTAGAGTGTCCTTGATGCTGTGCGTGCCACGAATCAAAAGGAGGAAGCACTTTGAGGCCTCATCACGTAAAATAGTAAAAGCAGGCTTCAGAATACCGGCTTTGGGCTTCTGAAGAAGGACGTGCGCCTCAGATAGCCCGGCGGATTCCAAGAATATGGGGAAGGGCTTTTTGGAGAAAAGCATGCACAGGGTTAGCAGTCTTAAGTAGTAATACAATTGATCGATGACTTCAGAGCCCTTCAGCTGCACAGAGTTTTCATCTATATATACACTTGCAACTTGTAGGTTACCCTGCAAGATTACATTTGTACTAATTACATAAGAGTAAAGGTCCTTGCACTGTATTTTGGGCCTGTAAAATCTACAGCACACTTTATCACTTCTACAACCAGCAACGGAGCAAATGAGTCTAACTTTATTGAAGGAAAAAAAAAAAAGAT